AAAGAGAAAACTTATATATTCACTGATATTTTTGCTCTCTTTTTGAAAAAGAAAATTAAGAATAATTCAAGATCAGATGCTTGATGGCTGTTAATTTTAAAAAGAGAGAAATACAGTCCAGAATACGATAAAAAAAAGTTGAAACAATGTCAAAATAACTTCAGTTTATTCACCTTGGCAGTACCATCAGGACTGTTTTCTTCAGTATAATCTTTAATTATTTCTTAAAATGCATAGAAGGTAGTTTAAATCTCAGAAGGCTAAGAAGGTCAAACAAGTATTTTTCTAAAAAAAATCCCAATCAACTCCAAACAACTAGAAACAAAATGAAAGTACTAAAAATATGAGTATTCCATTCAGCCTGGATGCCAAGAAGTATGTTACATGATAGTTATTAGTTTATAAAACAAAATTTAAAAATACAGACAATAAAGCAGTAAGAAATAAATAAATAAAAAAAATTATCAAGAAAGGAACTTAATAAGACACTCTTATTCTTTGACCAGGATAACTAGTTTTGGAAAAGGTACACTAATTTATTCTTGTGTTTATTAGAATGTTTGGCTCTGTCCTGCTTGATACACAACCTAGACAAATATTGTTTAGGTGAAATCACCTCAAGGTGTGTATACGCATCATGAAATTACTAGTTTGATTCAGGCAGTCTAGAATATTAAACAATAATTAAAAGTTAAAAGTGACAATTTTTTCCCTGTACAGTGAATTAGATTTTTTTTAAGACAGATAAAATCTTAAATAGCTGTTACCTGTTAAGTTTGTATTAACAAATATGCATTTTCTATGTATCTGCCCATATTTTATTATAAAGCTCAGTTAGTAATTTTTTCAAATCCTGCTTAGTCAAGCTAATAAACATATAAGGAATAGGGATACAGTGCTAAAAGACAATAAAATTGAATGTCTGTTTCTGCTCTCAGGATGTTTTCTGGTTTATTACCTTTGCATGGCAAGGATGTTACAACTTGTACTTTAAATTCCTGGTTGCTTTCAGATATGCTTTTTTTTCTATTTTATAACAGGATATTGTTAATTTGTGGTCAGTTCATAAAGCAAATAGAACCTTATGTCCTATTTTTTTAGTTACATTACTGCCTATCAGATAGCTTTAAATTCTGTGTTTGTGCAGTTCATTATTCCTGCCTTAGTTTAGAAGTATACTGTTAAATGCTGTCAGATAGAATTCTAAAACAAAGGAAAGTTCAGCATTGTTTCTTATTTCTCTAGGGTATTGCCCTATTCTCTATCATGCTTTAGCAAGTTGTTTTGTTTAGTAGGTTGTTTTGTGTTTCCTCCTCTGGGTCATTAGCAAATACCGAGTAGCCCTAGACTCAGGACAGACTTCTACAGAATCCTGTTTGATCTATTTTTATTTTTAAAAGAGAACTACCAATAATGGCAATTTTGAACCAGCTCTATAGAATTTTTATCCAGGTCATGTACTCCTTGTGTCCTTCTTTTTTCCCTCCCTTTCTTCTGTATTACTCTGAAGTACAAATTAAATCCTGTGCTCTTGTTACCAGATACACTTGAAAGCTTTTCTGCAGTGACATGTTGAGCTGTTGAAATAGTTGGAAAAGGACATAATCAAGCTCCTGTTCCTAAAGCCATTTCTGGATATTCTTTGTAGCACTTACTTGTTACTGCTTGATCCTCTGCAGCTCATGAGTTAGAAGTAGGCCTCTAAGAACTTCTTTTCTTTGCAGACCTAAGTAAGTGGAAAAATGTTTGTTCCCTCAGCAGAAGTGCAGATAGTGGCAAGTCAGTGTTCTACCAATACTCACTTTCTTGTTTTAGTCTCCATTTGATTTAGAACAGCTTCAGCTGTTCAAAATCACGAACAGTCCACCAGATGAGGTTTGGAGAACTGCTGTTGGGTATTAATTGTATGTCTTTAGGGGGAAAATGGATTCCCACTTTGAGTGCATGTGCAGCACAAAGACACCATTTACATTCTCATCATGTTTGCTTTAAGAATTAGGCAAGATTAGTAAAAGATAGACTTGAGTTTGTTATTCAGAGTGCTATTCATGGCAGTGTTTTGAAAATAACAGTAGTTGGAGAAATGCTTAGTTTTCCTTGTCCTTTAGGAATTTAATTTTATTTCATTTAAAAATACATTAACAAATATATTAAAATTTCAGTGATACTGAATCCAATAACAGAGCTGTTACAATAGGGAAGGACCCTTTTTTTTTTCTTTAGTTTTTAAACCAATTTATTGCCTTTGTTAATTTCAGTGGGCTCTGTCTTGTGATTTCTTTGCTGAATTATTGGATGAACTAATCAAATGGGATTTTAATGTGACTGTACAAACTGTTGGAATATATCATCTGAAAGCTGTGTGTGTCATTGTTCATTTCTGTTCATACCCATGGGAAGTTACGTTTTTGTTCAGTGATTTCCTTCTGCTGTGTCTTTCTAGATACACTAGATCCTCTCTTCATGCACCCTGACTTACCCTGTGGGACCCACACAGGAAGCTGTGGTCATGTGATGCATGCAGCCTGCTGGCAGAAGTAAGGATGAGCCTTTGCAGCCCTTTAATGTTGTGGTTTTTTTAATCTGTTTTCCAAAACATGTCAGTGCACACTGAAAACACAGTACACTAAGTGGATATTTAAGGAGTCAAAACTATTTCTACTTGTCTAATTATGAAATATGGCACAAGAAGTTTTGACCTGATGAAAATATTAATCAAAAGTTTTTAGTGCCTTCTGTGACCTAAAGAGGAATCTATAAGGGGTTACTAATTTATGCAAATAAAACCAATGGGGTAAAATTCATCAAGAGTAAGAAACTGTATCTAGTAGGTTTAATTTGAGCGATCCAATGAGGACCAGTAGGAATCTTCCAGGTGAGTGTCCTCTTTGAAAGTCTGTCACCACCAGGTCAGGACTTAAAAGGATGACTTATTCCAGTAAGGTGCACACACTTAAAATTATACAGAAGTATGTTCCTTGAGTACAGCACATCTGCTCTTGGTAGATCGATCTACATCTGCATAGATCTAAGTGGTGCAACACTGGAGCTCAGTTCTCTTGCTCCTTTTAAGAAAAGATGACTTGCTGTATGGGTAAATGGAATTAAAATAGACAAAAGGCTCTTCTCATACAGGACGGCACAGAAAGTTTCAATATAGCCTTTTACTTATTTTGTAACAGACATCCTAACTTCCTAATATTCCTCCAAATGATACCTGCCACACCTTTCTGGAGTATCTGTGCAGCCTAAAAATGTTGCAAAAGATTCTCTAAACCAGTACAGGTTCAAATGAATGAAATATCTTTGTAGTTCCCATGTGTGAGGAGGAGGAGTTGCTTGCAAAAACATGGTTGTTTGTATGTGGGAAAATACATGTATGTTTTTAATTGTAACAGGATCCTTTCCTAAATATTCTGTAATTGGCAGAACTTCTGCAGATGCACTCTCCCACATGCTTTCTTACTATACAAATGGGATTTTATGTTTTCCCTTAAGATGTATAATTGAAAGCAAAAAAACCCAACACAACAAACCCAAAGCTGATTACCCTAGTGCGGGAGTTAGATATTTCCTATCTGTCTTTTAGGTCCCATGTACCCAGTCTGAACATAAGTACTGGAGTTAGTTGCTTCTATCCAGGCAAGAAGATCTGGGTGTTGGATTTTTTTGTTCCTAATATTACCATTAAGATATTAATGAAATTCAAAGGCTTATTTCATCCAGTGTGGGGGCAAAATTGTAATTAAACCTGTACAAAGATCATAGTTATTTCAGTTTGCTTTTGAGTTCAAAATGTTGAGTTCAAGTGCCATATTGTAATCTGTTATCCTCTTTGTGTTAAAAGTAGGATACAGTTTCATTGACCAGACAGGAGGCTCAGTCATTGCCATGAATAGCTGGTTATTCATTCATTAAATGTTAGCAATAGTTTTTTCTAAAGAATAAATAAAAATATGTACAATCCCTGTTTCAAACTTACAGTAATGAGTTGCATATTAGAGATATTATATACAGCATTTCATTGTGTTGAAGATGTTGTGAGAGAAGAGTAGTAAATCGAATTGCTTGTCTGTAAAAATGTTAATGAAATCTAAAAGGATCTTAAGAGCAATGAAAAGTTGCCATAATTTTTGTGTGAGTTTATGTGCTGAAAGGTTTTATTTTCACATCCAAGCATGTGAAAGTTATAAATCAAAGGAAAAAACTTGTTGACTTGGAAATGTATTTGTTAGATTATAACGCTTTCTATTACGTGGACATTTGTTTTCATATCACATTTGAGCCATTCCACTTTCTAGTGATTTCCTTTTCAATGTCATAGGTACTTTGAAGCAATGCAGCTGAACTTCCGACAACGTCTGCATGTTGAACAGATATTTGACTTGGAGAATGGAGAATATCTTTGTCCACTTTGCAAATCTCTTTGCAATACTGTGATTCCTATTGTTCCACTGCAGGCACAAAAAATAAACAGGTGAATTACCAGATTGTTTAGGGGGGAATTTTTGGGGAAAAAAATAAATTACTTTGGGCCTGAATGGCCGATCATATTTTTTGGATGGAAAACTTGGGCTGACCTTCCTAACCTTTATAAAAGACTGCATGTCTTCTTACTGACTTTCCAGGCGAACATACTGCTTTTGACAGTCAATTGTTTTGTTTTTTTTTTAAAAAAAGTATTTTTCATTAGATATGTTTTGGAGCTGATACCAAATGAGAAAGTACCTAGATGCAGTATTTAGGCTAACACTTCATTTTTGACTGTTTGCTCAAAATAGACAAAGCCAGCAAAGCTACAGAGTGAATGTGTTTTGATCTAAATGTATCATCTGCTTATAAAGGTAAGGAGATCTGTCCAGTGTCAAAGTAAAACCTGCTTTCTCTTTCTGTTTTCAGTGAGGATGCAGAGGCAGTTGCTCAAATTCTGTCCCTGGCGAGGTGGCTGGAGATTGTCATAGTCAGGATATCAGGCTACAGTGTGAAAAATGCTAAAGGTTTGTTACCTTTTGAACTATTCTGTGGGATATCTAATGTGCCAGTACATGTTTAAGTAATAAAACAAAAAAAACGTCAAGAATACATTTTGCTGCAAGTCAGGACAGTACCAAATAAAACTGAGGATAAAGTCACAGCCCTTTCTGAGCTGCTGTCTTGATTTCATGATCCCCTCACCAGTTTCCTGGTTTCTGTTAAATTCTTTTTGTCTTCCCTGCAGAAGAAAATTATGTACACTTGGAGAGGACAGCCACCAACCAACATTCAGCATTAATTTAACTTGTGTATCAACTGTGATGTAGTAAAAAAGAGAATAAATAAATTTAAAGGGCCAAAAAGAACATGTATAAGAACTTAGAAAACAGAAGGTACACGGAATCAGTGTATTCCTTGCACTTTTATAATGCAGGAGAGTTCTTTTTCCTCACCAGCAAAGCACTACTTTTAATCCTTATATTTCTGGGAATAAAGTGTTGCTTAAGGAGGAGGTTTAGAAGACAATCCTGGTGGGTTACTTCCAAACCAGTTTAAAAATAAAAAGAAGTCTTCTGTTAGGCTGCTGTGAAAACTGTAGCAATGTTTGGGTTTTAATGTGGATTATTTTAATTTTTTTTTAAGGAGAGAAACAAAGCATTGCAGCTCTTGCTGACAAGGGGATGGGGAACTCTGCTTTGGAATTCCATTCCATCCTTAGTTTCGGCGTTCAGTCCCTGTAAGTCTTACTGGAAGTGCTCTCTGTGTGATGTTAATTCTTCCTAAAATTCTTTCCTAAAAATTCTACACTTCCTTCCTAAAATTCTACACTAGGTAGACTTCAGGATTTGTACTGAAGGACAGGTATATGATTTCTTTGCTCTGAATATGGACTTTAAGCTTAAACTTTCCCTTAAGCATTCACTGCAGATCAGATCTTGGTCAAATGCAGTCTGGTATTTCTTATGTTCTTAGTACAAATCCAGGAATCTTATGGAATTTTCTAATCCATAAATTGAGTGATGTGGCTCACTTCCTGTGCCTCTAGGCAAGTTATTTAATGTCTGTCTTAATTTCCTGCTGTATGTCTGTTTCAGGATAGATATCACTTGGTTTTGGATGCAATAATGTAATACAGGTTACTCAAAGGAATAGGGTGTTGTCTGTTCCTATTCTAGTCGCCAAAAGCTGTCTCACACTAAAACAGAATGAATGGATAGATACTTTTCAAGTATATTCAGCTGTCTGTCTTCTTCTTAGATCATACTATAAGAACTCTACTGAGTAACATAGTTACACAAAGTACTTTCACCTATCTGTGAAAATGTTGTCAGAAAATTGCATCAAACGCTTCCTTGATGACTGATTTCCATGGGAAAGATTCTGTAGTTTGCACTTAATGTGACATTTAAGTATGAGCCTGTCTTAGATCTCAAGCTTTTGTGGTAGGATTGTTTTGGCTGCAGAGATTTGGAGAATTAATCTGAATGCCTTATTTCTGTTACAAAGTTCTGTGTATGACTTGGAGAAAACCACAAGCCATTAAAATTGTACGTGATTTTGCTTGAGCACTGTTCTGTGTATCACTGCTTTTACATAAACTAACCCAATGTCAGTTAAAAGAGATTAAATGCTAAAAAAAGTGGTTTAAAACACATTTGAAATGCCTTTCTATTTTTGGTGCTACATGAGGCATATATCCCATGTATGAGATGTATTTTCATTTCAGCACTTATAATTACACTTGATTACTTGCATTTGGGGGTTTTTTATTGTTGTTTTTCTACTTTTATTTAAATGTTTGCATTCCTTGAATGCATCTTACAGTATGCAGAAAAGCCTGCTTCCAGCCTGGCAGCTCTTAATATCTTCATTTGTTGAGCCTGTTATGTCAAGGTGGCTATTTACCACTGGAAACTAGTAATGTTTTTCTCCTCTGTGCAAGCAAAGGGCCTTTGTATTCAATAATTCTTTCACTTAGACGTTGTTAGTGATTAATTGACTGGTAAGTAATAAGCACTATTGATAATTCAAATTGAATTTGTCTTGGCTTTCTTTTGCAGAGCCAAATACTCAAGCAGTATCAAGGAGATGCTTATTCTCTTTGCCACCACTGTTTATAGAGTTGGGCTGAAAGTTGCTCCAAATGAAGCTGATAACCGGATTCCTGTGATGACCTGGAGCACATGTGCTTTTACCATCCAGTGTATAGGTAAGGCACAGTTTAGTTTTATTCCTTCTCAGGACCTGAAAATCTTGTATTTTGAATTTATAATTCTATACAATCTGATTATAAATAATGATAACAATAATTCTACATAAATAAGAGTAAAATGTAACTGTATAACAATGTATATTATATGTACTTACATATATAGTAATAGAATGATAAGCTGTAATACATTATAAATAGGATGTTTCTCTTAGATGGTACTTTATAAGATAAGGTATGGAATGCCAACATTGAGTTAAATCTGAGAGAGCAGGGAGTGCTCATGTTCCACATTAGTAATTGTAGTGTTAAGCGTGTTCAATAAATATATTCAGGCTGTCAAACATTATTGACCTGCAAGGTCACAGCTAAATATCTAATGACTGTGAAATAGTCCTATTTATTTTTTGTCTTTATTTTTAAAGAATTCTCATGGAATTTGTAGAAGAAATAATGGTCTTTTTGCATTTTGAAATTATTAAGCAGGTACCTGGCAGGACAAAATTCCAAAACAAGCCCTAAACATTCTCTGGCATGACTGTTTTTGAAGGCAAAATAATTACTATAAAAATGATTGCATTTTGGGGGATAATGTACCTGTTTAGCAGTCAATCTCATTTCATTTCTGTGCTACATACACAAAGAAGTTTGGCCTAATAAACATGAAGCTGTAGATTAATCTGTAGCAGCTTCCAGGCAGGGAAGTAGTCTACCTTACATCTCTAGTGGACTTGACCCAAATGGACTACCAAGAGTTCAAAAGTTTTTTTGGGGAAATGAGAATATTCCGATAAGGCAGGAATAGTAGCAAAAACTGATTCCATCTTTTTATCGTTGGAGTTTTCAAATGGTTTGGGAGAGGGTTGGAAGCCACCCAGCTCACTTAACAGTAATACACGTAGTGCTTTGCAGATCATTTTCATTTGGTATCTAAAAGAAGACTTCGGTGACTGTCAGGGATGAGTTTCCCAGCAAGTGTATAAATGCAGTAACTGTTACCACAGATGTGATATCAAAAGCATATGTCAGAAATAGAAAATTCAGATGCCTTACCAGGCCAAGACTATAAAACCAGAGAGACCACTGTGACTGTTTGACCTATCCTAGGCCACATCATTTCCTTGGATTCATTTTTTTGTTTACAAATAGAGCAGGCTTTTATTGCCTAAAGCCAGACACTTAAAAATACAAATCTGATTTTTCCCATTTTCCTCAGCAACTCCACATGCTGTGTGTGAAACATGTATGGAAGTGCTGAGTTAAAAAACTTTCATTTTTTGTTAGAGATGGTTTATAAAAAACAAAACCAAAATGAACCACTAAGAACCTCCCAACTAAAAACTCCCATTGAAAACAAAAAAAAATCCAGTATCTTGAAGCATACTGAGCCATCTCTGAAAAGTGACTAAAGCACAAAAGCATTCGAATTGGTACCTTTTTACCCAATTGAGTTAATTTGGTTTCTTGTTTATATTGGCTTATTGTCTTTTTGTTATCCCTTCAGAACCAAGGCACTCAGGGAGGAAAGCTGAATTGTATTCCAGCTTGGGAATTTTGTTGTCAAAATATTTTTGTTCAACTACAGTCAAATGCAGTAGTGCAAATCTGAGGGTAAGAAGGATGCATAGGATCCCTGTAAACACACAGTGATGTTTTTTAGCCTTGTATAAGGGTAACTAAAATACAACTAAAGCCGTAGAATGTCTTCTCTCCGTTTATGTGAAAGAGTGCTCCTTTAAATTCCTAGTTAGCAAGATCTGAAAACTAAGTTTTTAAAAGACTTGTAGGAAAGAATCTGGGAAAGATTCAGTACCATTTAAGGAAGATATTTCAAGAGAATTCTCTTATCAGAATAAAGTTGAGCTTGAAAATGGAGTACATATACTAAAAAAAAAAAATTAATCTTCGCCTAAGTGTATTCTAACAGAAATGTTATGTTAGTTCCTGCAGAACAAAGCAAATTTATTTTTTTCTGTGCTTAATTTTAAGAAAACCTCTTGGAAACAGAGGACAAACCTTTATTTGGATCTCTGCAAAATAGACAGGTATGGGCAAGTAAGATGTGCATTTAAACAAATTGTTTATATTTATATATATATTTCTAATACGCATTTATAAGAAACTTACTGTTCTCTACTGAGGGATAGCTTTCAAAACATTTAGATTGATTACAATAAGAGCACTTTGGAAGTGTAATGTTTGCATTTACAAATGAAAGTACATATTAAATTCACTTACGTGTTTTCTCTGTTGAAGTAGGTATATCTTTTACAGCTTTATTTCACTATTGTATCTTCCTTTTTTTCCTGTCCAACCATTATCTCTTGCTCTCTAGCACAGTGGCCTTAAAGCATTAGTACAGTTTGCAGCTGCTCAGAGAACAACATCACCACAGGTCTTGATTCAGAAACATCTGATTCGTCTTCTAGGAGGTATTGTATTCCTTTTCTTCACTAGCTTTCATGTTGCAGAAGTTTGTATTGCAAATTGATACATACATTAATACAGCATAGAAGCTAAGGTTAAACTACTGACAACAATGCTAATTTGATCTTCTCTAACATTGCCTGAAATCCTGAGTATTGCTTCAGCTTAAATAATCAATAATTCTGTTAGCCCTCCTCTGTATCACTCGAGTCCCCAAAACATCCTCTATCCCAGATTACCTAGTCCTGGAAATCACCAGATCTGAAATATCTACAGACAGTTAACAATCCATTTCTGGCACTGTTCAAAATTACTCAGATTCTGTGCTAAACAAGTGGATTAAGCCACAAAGCAGGTATTCCTCTCTTAATAGTGAGACTTCAGCTTTCTAGTACTTTCAAAAGTCTGCTTGCAACCTAGTTTGAGGTATTTGGGCTCAGGGAGAGCAAGTTTGAGACACATAGCTATCCTCCATATTTCTTACTAATTAGGTTAGAGTGGTGGCCTTTGTGAATCCCACTCTTTGATTTGCCATCTATTCAGTAGGATTCTTATGTGTGGTACATGCTTTTGTATTGTGCTAGTGTTGCAGTGCCCAAGTACATTTGTGAACTTCACTCTTAACTCTGTGTTCTTTATTAGATTTGGAGAAATAAATTAAAGATTTTTATCTCAGAATTTTTAAGATAGCCATTAATATAGTGAGCTGTTTAGTATGTGGGAATGGCTAAACACATGCATGATCAATTAAATAAGTGGCAAGCAGTTAATTAGATAGATGCTTCCTGAGTTCTGAGGCTTGGACATTTTTTGATGAAAACACAGAGATGATAGAGGCTCTAAAAGCTGATTCTGATATTGCAGTTCAGTCCAAAAGAAGAAAATATGTATAAAATGCATAATTGATTATATCTTTATTTTGTAGTTCTTCTACCAAACTTTAAAGTGGAGGACACTCCATCCCTCTTAGAAGTAGATATGTTCCACGTTTTGGTAAGTAGGTTCATTTTATTCTTTATCTGAATACTTTTACGAGCATGAATTTTTGTGAACTTCACCCTGTGCAGTCCTGCATTATCTATTCACATGCATGAGTCAAGTGATTATACACAAGCACTGCCTATAAGCAAATGATTACACATGGCTGCTGTGTACAAGTGTTTTCTTTTAGTTCTGCTGTTCTACCTTTCAAGTATTTGTTGTATCACTCATTTTAAATTTCATGCTGGTAATCTCCATCTTTTTACCACCTCTATTGGTATCAAGCCTCAAAAAAACCTGAGGTGCACCCACTCATCTTGTTTCCCTCATGTTCTCGGTCTCAATAGGCCTCTCCTACCATCTGATCCTTTACATTCACTCTCATTACCTTCTTTGCTCTTCTTAGCCTCTTCTGTCTATTCTTAATACAAATCTGTATTATTGTTTGTTTTACTGATAAAAAAACCCCAAAACACAATCACAAAAGCACACAACAAAAAACCCAAACAAACAAGCTCATCCAAATAAAGCCTGTTTTACTCTTGTTGCTTTTTTAGCTAATCTTTGGTCTTGCTTCTCAGTTTTTTCAATGTGTTTTATCTTATGCCAAAATCCAGAAATAAAGCTTTCTAGAAATTTTACAGGCTTTCTTGGTGTACTTCTAAACTGACAATCACAATGAAACTGTGTCTGAGTTTCCTGCATGCTAGAGGGGCACAAATGATAAACATTTTCCAAGGACTTTTTGCTACACTTTGTGAATTAAAGATATCTAGATAAATGAATATATTTAAACTGACTACAGAAATGAAATATAAATGTGTAGTGAGAGTATAAATTATTTCATCTGTGTAACTATTACCAAATTTCTGTTACTTTATTTTCTCCTTCCCTTTCACTCTAGGTGGGATGTATAAATTATTTCATCTGCGTAACTATTACCAAATTTCTGTTACTTTAATATTTTCTCCTTCCCTTTCACTCTAGGTGGGAGTTGTGTTATCCTTTCCATCTTTGTACTGGGAGGATGCTGTAGACTTGCAGCCTTCATCAATTAGTTCAGCCTATAACCACCTCTACCTCTTCCATCTGACAACACTGGCACACATAACACAAATCGTTGTCTCTTCAGCAACAGGTAGGAGTGTAAGTGGGTTGGATTATTCTGGCATTTTTATACCATTTCATAAAAATAGTGGATGGACAATGTTAGTGTCTTCCAAGTGTAAACTTCCTCATAATAAATGACAGTGCTAGGTAGTAGTAACCATTTTATGGTAACAGAGTAAGTAGCGCTGCATGGTTTTCAAAGCGTTTTATTATATCATGTTTGTGTATTTAGCCTAAGAAACCAAGATAGTTATTGATAAATCAGTACTTACTCCAGTCAGTTGTTCCAGAATGGTAACTTCCCCTTCTTCACTCTATGTAAGAGAAGCAAAGCTATGCCCAGAAGCAGCACTCTGAGCTGTACAGTGACAGAAGGGACTTGGGAAATGAATTTTTCTTTACCCTTCAGCCTAGTAAATGCCCAGAGCTGAAATATGAAATCTTCCTGATAGGAGAGTATTTAACTTTTCTCTTTATTTCATACTACTGTTAAAAACTGCCAGTGACTTACAGGGTTCCTAGCAACTATTTCTTCAGCATGATGGGGATGAAAAAAAAAAAAAAGTTCCAGTATCTTAATCTGTGTAGGACATTAGCTTCATAAGTTCAAGGGAAGAAAGCAGTTTTTATGTAAGGATGAACAATGAGGCACTAATCCTGATTTTTCTTTACAGTATGCAGTTTTAGGACAACGTTTGCTAGGTTAAAAGCAGAAGTGGAAGTATTTCTGTAATGGAAAAAAAAAAAAGTACTTGCAGAAAAAGGTAATTGTATCACGTATGAAGTGCATTTACAGTGGGATTCCTATTTTTGTGTGCAGAATCCCGTTCTGCTCAATCACCTGACAACAGTGAGGAGGCACGGTCTGCACAGTCTTTCTGTAGAGAGATTTGCCAGTACACCAGTGGGTGAGTAGCAGTTCTGCTATAGCATTGCGTTTTTCCTAGAAAGATGACAATCCAGAGAGATTTACCTGAACTCCACAGAAAACAGGAGAAAAAAATAATCCATTTTGTATGGAGAGTTAGCACAATGCCTTGTGCTTTCTTCCCATACTCCTGAACACCGGAAAAAAAAAAAAAAAAAAAAGGAAACTGGTGAAAGGAGCACTTTTAATTAAAATACCTACTTTTTTGGTCAACAGTAAATTCTTAGTCTAAGGATGAAAAATACCTATATCCATTCTGGAGCACCACTACCTATAGCAGTTATTTTTTTTGTTGCCTTGATTGTTTTTTTGAGATATGTCAATTATAGATGGAAGCCAGAAAGAAGTAAATGGCTCTACTAGAAAAGAAGGAAAAGTGTAAAACTAATCACAGTTGCTTATTTGATTGAACAGCAGTGCCTATCTTTTCAGAATTTTTTGATAGGTATAGCTACAGATCTTCATTACTTCATCATCTGTGTGAAATAAACTAAAAAATATGGATACACCCTCTACAAATTCTGCATTGATTTACCTTCTCTGAGGCTAGTTGCAAAAATATGTTTCTCAAGGACTGAAAATGCTACCCAGTGGTCTAAAAGTCTAAATTTTTAAATATTCAACATTTGGTATTTAAATAATAGAAATAATTTTTCTGAGGCATGAACTTCAAATCGTAGGTGCTGTGCATTTTGGAAAATCAGGTCACTATACTGAGATGCCTAGGTACAGAATTAAACACCAAAGTTAGTCAGCACAGCTCTGAAACTTTTATTGGTTTAGTTTCTGTGTATGCATTGTTGTCTTTTAACTCTGACCTATCTGTGCTTAAGCAGCACAATCTGCATGGTAATTTTACAATGATACACAATGTTATAGTAACAGCTTTACAGATTGTTCCTCAGTAGGTCCTAGTCAACATTTGTGTGAACATCCTATTTACATAAATGTGAATTTTACAAAGTTTAAAATTTTTAGAAAACAAAGACACTCTGTGTGAGGTGGATTTTCTGTGAAATGTAATCTCAGTGTTCATATGACACAAACTAAAAGAAAAACTACTGAGATGAGTATCACCTCATTTTTTGCTAAAAATGAGATTCGTATAGCTTTAGTTTAAACAATCTCAGTGTTACTGTTTGACAGAATGAAGTATGATATATTAATTTTTTAATTCTGTTAGTCTTGTTGTTCTTGGAAGAGTATTTATGTATGTGTGTTTGTTTCTTTATTTCAATTGCATTCAAAACGCCAACTGGATGAAACATTATCCCCATTTCAAAAAAATTGCTGGCTTTTGATAATAAAAAGAAACCAGTGTAAGAATCAATTGCTCTGCGTGTGATGCTGTATTGCACACTTTGAATGAGATTATCTAGAGTTAGCCAATACATAGCTCTTCATCTCTAGGTATGTATTTTTTATAATAATCAAGAATATAAGGGGAGATAATCTGAATGCTCAATGTAAGTGTTCTGCATAAACTCCATACTTATGTCTTAGGCAAAGGGGAGGCTGAGAGTTGATGCTAGTGACTGTCTCACAGAATTTGAAGTACATAGCTGTTGCTTCTACACAGCTGCCATTCTACCAGTGTTAACCAAAATGTGAAAGTGCTAGAAGGATTTGTGCTGTGAACTACTGCAGCTATTTCTCATTTGTGTATTACAGTTGCTTTAGTCAGGATATTCCAGGCCAGCTGGTGTGGGATTGTGTTAAAAAAGGCATTATGCCTTACCTCCGTTGTGCTGCTTTATTTTTTCATTATCTGCTGGGAGTTTCTCCACCTGAGGAACTGCTACAAGGTAAGTGTAAGAAAGCAAATTTATCTGTATATTGACCTTGTTTACTGTTTTCTTGGAAGAATGGAATTCTTAAATGTTTGCAGTAGCGTAGCAAGAGTTAATACGTTAAAGTAAGACTTGGAAAGAAAAGGAAATACTAATTTGTATTGGAAGGGGCAAGCATGAGAAGCTGAGTCACCTTGGCTTGTTTGCATGGAAAGAAGTGACTTCTGAATATGTGCAAAAATGTGAATTAATGATGTATTGAAGGTAAGTAATTGTGGATACAGAGATTCTGTGATTTAAAGATAATTCTAGGGGCTTATATTACATTACCTGAGAAATAGTTTGGAGTATATTTAAAAAAAACAAACAACACAAAATAAAACTGTTTTGTGCAATTGCTAATGTTGGTAAATGCTAAAGACATTCCCATGTCTTCTAGAGAGCCAAGTAAAAATAAAGCATATTATAGAACTTTAACATCTTCCTTTAAGATCCTAATGCACTACAGATACTAAAGCCCCCCCCCCAAATATTTTGCTATGAACAACTGAGACAAAATACGATATCTTAAATTTATTTGTAAAGACTGTAAACAAAGTTTGAAGTTGATTAGCATATACAAGTCATTCTCTACAGTTTGGGATATGCCTTTACTATAAAGTCTGGAACTTTGGGACTTCCTGGTGAATCAGTAATGCCATTTTCTGTAGCAGAGCCATTAAATGACCACCCAGCAAACTGTTCCATTAGACCAACTTTATGAAATGTGGTAGCACTGACTTGACAATAGCAATATTGAATATCATTGCAGGCCAAAGGGATAAAGCAAAGCTAAAATGTGATGAGTACAGAAATCTGCTGTACTATAGTATATTATGTAGTATGCAGTGACATGGAATTTAAGCAAGGAATTCTGTTAGTACAGTAAATCATGCATTACTTAAAAATTTCTTACATCAAATTTGTTTAACCTAAAGCAATGCAAATGCAAATTCTAAGTCAATGGAATTACATCCAATTGTACTAACTAGGAGCTAGGCAAATGCAGTAAGATACATAATACCCAGTGGAAAAGGGATCAGGAGATTTCTAGTTTCATGTGAATTATTTAGGATTGCTGAAACTTTTGACAATTGCCCATGTTTTCTTTGTTTTGCAGTTTCTGAAGAAGAGCAATTCAAGGCACTTTGTACTTACCTCTCTCTACCTACCAATTTGTTCATGCTCTTCCACGAATACTGGGACACAGTAAACCCACTGCTTCAAAGGTACTAATTGGGACTGGACAGGCCATGCTTTTCTGTTACAAAGGCCCTATCGGAATTTTGGTTCAAATTTGTTAACAAATGATTGAGCTCAATTTTGTTCTAGAGTTCTACACATTTGGTGTGCTCAGTAACAGTGAATCTCTCGAAGCACATCACAAACAAATCTATGTTTGATGGTAATTGAAATGTTAAACAGTTATAGTTCAAGGGACTGTCTACAGCAAAAGTGCTGATTACATGAGCTGTAAAATGAGAATATGAAAAATCATGTAGCTGGCAGGGTGAGACTTTGTACCAGTTCTTCTCTGGATTTCCAAAATATACTGGTGAGTGTTGAAGTTAGCTTAATGGTTAAAAGGTACAATTTGAGTATTATGTAGGTTGCAATCTAGCATTAGTGAATAAAATTCTCCATTCAGAAACACAAGTTAAAATAAATGGGCATGCTTCTGTCCCCCCAAACTGAGGATAAACCTGCTATATTGTGTTGAAGAATGTCTTCATGTATTTAATGTGACCAATTGAGCACTTGGTTGCATTAATTATTAGTCCTGTTTCTTGGCAGAATTCTCTGGCTCACAGTAGCCTTCTGGGTTGTTTTTTCAGGGTTTTTTTTAGCTTTCTTTTGTTGTCTAGAGTTCTTCATTTTAGGGACATTTTGAGCTGTTGACTCCAACTTAGAGCCCATAGAGCTGACCTGAACAATTCCCTATATGCAATTTTAATGTAATTAATTGCATTTGTAGTATATATAATTGCTTATAAATTAATAGCATTTTTACAAGTGAACTAAATAAATTTGTCTTAAATGTTCCTACGTGTGTGCTCAAAGACTTAATGGTGTGTATAGGAGAACACCAAGGACAGGTGCTTGTGAACATTGGAAAATGATCACTAGAGGCAGAGCTAGCAAATCCATCATAGTGTTCCCAGTCAAAAGCAAAGGTTTCATGTAGGAGGCTACATATTTAATGTACTAGTAACAGCTGTCAAATCATCATGCACAATCCCATATGTTTTTTTAAGGAATCTTATTTCAGAAGACTAAATTTGATGAATGTTGAGAAATGTGTTAAATGAAGCTTACTAGATTGACCATCTGCTACAGTTCTTTCTTCCTTCTCCTTTTTGTAGAAATAAGATACTGTAGACACACCAGTTCCTCTGTTCAGTAACTTGCCAATATGTAATGTTTTGGTAGACACATTTGGTCATTCTAAGCAAGCATGTAACATGCAATGACGCATTGTAAAATAACCTTTGGGTGATGGTTATTACCTAAAAGCAATAAAATGTTTTCCTAATAGACATTTTCTTACACTGTGGCTTTTAGCAGATATATTCCAAAGGGAGCTGTGTATCACAGCCCACTTTGAGAACTTAAATATGTGTGAAGGCTGTTTGCATTTTTAAACTCTGTTAATTCTTGTGTTTTCATATGTGTGATGATAATCTTAAGCAATAGTTTTTCACGTAGGTTTTTCACTTGGATACAAACTTTAGGTTTTTTCCTGAAGTGAAATTGTTAAAGAATAGCTGTTTCTCCATGTGAAGTTTCAGCTAGAACTATCAATGTTTCATCTGTGCTCTGTGTTTGCTTCTTGCTTACTAGTTTAGTTTAGTGTTCTTAAGTGTATATTATTATCAAACACTGTCATCTGCAAATGTTTGTTTGAAACAGGTGGTGTTCTGACCCGGGGGTGTTAAGTTGTTTGAAGGGGAAAAGCATTGCAATAAGGTTAGTTTGCTTCTGTTGTTTTTTATTCTGGTTTTGACTTAAAACTGTGGAAAAGTGGAGGTCTTGTGGGGAAGATAAGGACGCTTGTATTTTCTTCCTTCTGCTCTACTACCAAAAGTACATTTCTCTTTAAATGGTTGTTTCTCATGCAATGACACTGAATTGAGAATGACCATTGTTAGACAAGTTACCTAGCTTACTGTAGGAAAAAACAAAAACTAACTGGAATGTCTTCATACATGTATGTTACATATGAAATTTCATTTATTCAGCCTTGTTGGAATATAGAAATGCTGAAGCTCCCATGTGGAGCTTCCTCACACTTGGGCTTCTAGGACTGAAGAACTGCTGTAGAACTGCAAAAGTTTGCAGAAAAGGCTGAAAGCACAGCAGGAAAAAAAAAACAGGAATTTATAGCTATCCATTCTGTTCTTTCTGATTATTCTCATAATTATCTCCATGATAATAGTTCTTTTTCACTTGCCCAGGTATCCTAGGAAAAGAAATAGCTTAATAGAGCTTCCTGAAGACTATAGCTGCCTCTTGAACCAAGCCTCTCAGTTTAGGTAAGATATGGCATATTTAGTTGTCTTCCTGGGTGTTCTGTCACTTTTAATAACTTTTGTATTTTTACAGTTACTGTAACTGGTGTTAAAACTGTGTAAAGAAATTACTTTGCAGAAGCAAAGGTGCTGACCAGTACTCTTATGTACTGACATGGAACTAGTATATCCTCATCTTAAATATGAAACAAACGAGCTTGCTAAGTGAAGTCACTTTTGTTTGCTAGGAGAGCATATAAAATTATTATAGCTTAATCTGCTGGTCTTTTTTCACCAGTGCAATGTGCATTTGGTTTGGCCATAAGCCTGAAAATTATTTTTGCACTGGACACAACAAGCCCAGAAGGTTGGCACTGTTTATGCCAGGAAGAGTGAATCATAGGATAATTCAGGTTAGAAGGGACTACAGATCATCTTGTCCAGCCTCCCTGCTCAAAGCAGATACCTTGCAGATAAAATATTTCAAGCAATTTAAAAACATAGCAAAAGGAGGCAGATACGTGAAATATGATGACATAGTATGTCTTATGGTTTTGTTTGTCAGTTCTGTTGGGTTATTTTTTGGGGTGGGAGTTGTTTTTTAAGGAACGTTATCCATAGTTAAAATGTCTTTCAAAAATTTAATCCCTGCAGTAATGTTCTGGTTACACTTTTTCTAGATGCCCACGGTCTTCTGATGATGAACAGAAACATCCAGTATTGTGCTTATTCTGTGGGGCTATGTTGTGTTCCCAGAATACTTGCTGTCAAGAACTGGTGAATGGGGAGGAGTTGGGAGCCTGTACTTCTCACGCTCTTCAGTGCGGAGCTGGAGTCTGTATGTTTCTCAAGTAAGTAGAGAGCCAGAATGTAATGTGTTAAAGGATAAAGGGAAATACTTGAAGATCAGAATTTACAACATCATCAAAGCACTTAATTATTTTTGTCTGAGACAAAGAAACATTGCATTGACCTAAAATTGAGCTCACTAGAAAGTTAAGAATCTGCTAGGAGTTTTCTTGTATTTTAATGTACCTTTTTTGTTTCCTTAAGAATCAGGGAATGCAGAGTTGTCCTCATTGAAGGTAAAACCAGGGGCTGCTTATATCCTGCTCCCTACTTGGATGAATATGGAGAAACAGATCCAGGTCTGAAGTAAGTAAACATTTGACTTTTCTGTATTTCCATTTTGGTATCTGTTTCTTAGACCCATTAGACGACATGATCTTCCTGCTAGAATGTACAGCACTGTAATACCTCTCTTGGCCTGGTGAACTTGTTTAACTTCAAATTCCTGATGGCAGTTTCCAGTCATGAATGGGTTATTAATCATGGAAAAATACACATATTTTTTTTTTGGTACTGTTAAATTTTCTTATTTTTCTCAAGAATGCTTTGTATGCTTTTCAGCTGCCATTGCTGAAATAACATCTTGGAATGGTAGTCATTGTTTGTCCCAGGTAGAATTTCTATATTATTTCCAGTAGATTTTCTGGAATTGGTGTTCATAGAAGTATTTGATGTTTTCTGGCTATCATTAAGAGCATTCATGCTGGACAATTAATGGAACAGTTTGCTATTCTGATATGCTTATTGGGTATTCTCCTTTTTTCTTCCATGAAGAAGAGGCAATCCTCTGCACTTATGTCGGGAGCGTTACCGGAAGCTCCATCTGCTATGGCAGCAACACTGCATCATAGAGGAGATTGCCAGGAGCCAGGAAACAAATCAGATCTTCTTTGGATTCAACTGGCAACTGCTCTGAGTCGCTTGGTTTTTTTGTGAAAACTTACCTTTGGCAGTGCTTTGGAAAAGGAAAGGAGGGTGGCAGTAACTCTACTCACAAATGGATTCTGTAGTTCAGACACAATTGTTGGATTCTCTAGGTTGGATATATTACTGATACATTGAAACAGAATCTCATGTCATATGTTTTGCGCTTTGTTCTTTTTTCTTCCCCCCCAGAAAAAGGCAAAACCATATTATATAGTTATTAATGAACATTCAGGTCCAGGAATGTTTTCACTTTTTTGAGAAGTTCTAATTGTTTCACATATTTTGACAAGGACAGCTTCCCAAATGCTGTGCTTCATTCACTGCACATACCCCATCTCTGTCTCTTCCATACCTTGAGAAAATACCTAAATAGTGTTGCTGTGGAAAAGCCTCCTTTACTTTCTTCCTGGGTTCTTTTTCCAAGCTCACTGAAGCTTTTAAATAGGTCAAGATCTGTGGCATAATACTGTAGTGGAAGTTGTGAAGAGACTGTAGTAATCTCTAGCAACAGGTACAGCAAACATACAGTTGTACAGAAAAAGCCCACATGCAGCTTTATCCTGGGATTTAATGAAGAGTTTCATTAATGAATTCTTTGAAGAACTGTGAGATAGAAAGTGCACAGGGAAATCACCATCATGCTTGTTGAATCAAAAAATTCAGTCTGTGCTTTTTGCATTGCCAGAACTGCACTTTATGTAATGAATTTGTCCTTTATTCATGTTGTATATCCTAGGGTCTAGGGCTACATGATTTGGCTAGGTTGTGGAAAGTTCTGCTCCTTTTAAAGTTATCTTCTGAGATTCTTACCAGGAAACAAATGTGAAAATACTGTTCAGTAGTTGTAGTGTAGCTCTAAGTTATACAAGAGCCTGAGATTTTGATAAAAGACCTTCAAAAGCTACCAATGGACTGCAGCTGAAGTCCAAAAGTAGCAAGTTTTAGAGTCAGAAATAATTTAGTTTGCCCACATTTGAAAAATTTTCTGCTCTTCATCCTCTGATACTATTGTTTGGAGCCCTGCCTGCATAAATGAAATTGTGTGTTTTGGGGGGGCATGTTTAGTGCGTGTTAGAGCAGAAGAAGGGAAAAAAGGTGGCTAAGTCTGTCTCTTTGCCGTTCAGTAGGTAATAGTACATTGTGATTTAACTCTCTCTCAATGATATGTGATTGTGCCTCAGTTCTGAATGTTTATTGTTCTGTTTTCTGGATTTCAACCATAATATACATGAGAGAATTTTTAATGCAATGGGTGAAAACACCTTCCCAGGAAATCCCATTTCTGTGTGAAAGTTTGAAGCTGCCCATACTCTAAATTTTCCCACCCCTTTGTTATTTGGATTCTTTGGTGTCATTTTAATAAGGCTTGCAAGGGGAGTTTGGCAAATCAATGTCTGAGAGCCTGTTTTTTATTATTTCCTTTTGGTTTGTTTTTTGCTGCTGTTTGTATGAGAGACAGTAGAATCACAAATAACTATTTAGATTTACATATTGTTTTCCTAGTTTTTAAAGTTTTAGAGTACGTATGAGTGCACTGAACAGCACCATAACTCATCTGAAAGCAGAATACCAATGAACTCAAATATCGTTCTGATTTCAAGCAGTCTTATAACTTTTGCTATAAACCTTACCTGGTTATATAACTGGTTGGCTTTGGCATATTTTTTAGATATTCTGTTTCTTGCAATTAAGACCATTCTCCTTACTTTGATTCCTTCAGATTTTAAACCTGAATATGGAACTCTTCAAAGACAAGTATTAATTCTGTTGGTCTTCTGTAAAGTATATTTCAAATGCATACTGAATTTAGAAAAGCAGTTCTCATGAAAACTTGCATGCACTGGCAATTTCTAAGATCGAAATACTCCTTACCAACCAACAAAAATATTGGATTAAGACTAGGAAATGTATGCTTTGTTGATACCAAAACTATATTCACTTACTGTTTCCCTCTGATATTTACCTGTTCATTTATCTGAAACTTTCCGTTACCTTGCACTTCACTGATAGAAAAATTCCGTTATCAAATATGCAGTGAGATCACTTTATTTTGTTTTCTCTCTAAACTGTATATAAGGACACGAGCTGGTTTGAGCGGGTGAGCTCATGTTTAAAGCTCTAGAAATCTCTTCATAGCTGAAGAAGTGGGAAAGTTGCATCTTTCTGTATGCTTGCACATACTAATTTAGCACATGGGCTCCCATATCATTCACTGACTAGTGTGATCACCTTGCATTTCATTCAACTACTATGCAGTTTTGTTCACTGTGAGTATAATCTGTATTTAGTGATCGCAAGATGCTTATGCCACTGATTTCTCTTCCATCCAGGCTGACAGAAGAAGTTATTTGATAATGCACATATTGGTATCTTTAATTGCAAAAATGTAAATTTGAAACTTGTATAATGTTCTTGTGCTTTTGAAATAAAATATCTTGTATATGTATATTTAAAAAAAGGAAATAAAGTAACTTCTCATAGATTACTCCATTTTTATTTGGAGGCGCTTTGACATGTCACAGTTCACTGAGAGTGTTATTGCAGCATCCGTCAGTTGGTTGGTAAAGAATACTAGTTATCCCTGTAGTCTGTATCATCATTATACTGGTTAAGTGCAGGGTGGCGCACTTACTTAAAGAAATACTCCACTTGAAAGTTGTCTGAGCATTTTACAGATGTGAATTCCTGCAGTGTCTACCTCAGTTTGTGGAAGGAGTCTTAAAGACAGATTTTTAATATTTATATGTCCTTCATCTGATTAGTTAAGTGATTCTGGTTTTGTAGCTTCTCAAAGAAGTGCTGGCTGTACTTCTGTCAGATACTTGTCCTCTAAAAAGGGAAATGTTGTGGCGTTGGTCTAATGTGCTGTGATACATACTAAAAAAGCCAAAAAAACAAAACCCAAGTATTTTTATTACAGAGCTAAGCAAACAGCCACGGAATCTAACCTAGAAATGGCCAGTACTTCTTGCCCCTTTTTATGTTGCTGTGGCTGTCCCTACTTTCTCACTTCTTTGTTGTAGCTTCGTGCAGCGTTTAGCCTACACAGTTTGGGTATTCATGGTATTGCACTCTAAATGCTTATTCTTAGTAAAGCAAATGTTATTTTAAGAACCTGTTCCTGAAGAGGTAAAAGGTAAAGGTAGGTGGATTAAAGTCTATTAGCAGAAATGTTCTGAAGAACGTTAGAACAAGAAAGCTATTCATTAGAGGGGGAAAAAAAGAAAAGAAAAAAAGCCACAGCGTTCTTTCTTGCATAGTAATACTCACCAGGTGCAATGTACAGATGTACAAAATTATATAGAACACGATTTGGGTCTTCACATTCTTTGCTTTGTGGTTGAAATCCACTTTATTCTTATTCTAACTGTACATGAAAGAGAAGCTGTCTATAGGAAGTCTGTGTTGAAGGAGAGTGAGCTGAAATTCAAGGCAATTACATACTTTATTTCATGTAACGGTGAGTAAAGGGACACCAGGTATGAAGTTAAACATGAAAGATTAAAACTGGGCCTGAGTTCTCTTTCTTCCTGTGTGACTATTGTTCATGAAGTCAGTGTCAAAAAAAGTATAGTTGGTGCTGTTTAATTACAGGTTGTCAAACAACTTAGAATCCATCAGACTGAATTTTAGGAGGTTTCTTCATGCTTGAATGAACAAGGATCAGCAAAATGTTGTGAAGCAGGCAGTGGTGACTGGATTTCGTGATCATTTCAAGTACTTGCTGTATCTATGAAGTTCTGTGGTTAGTCTTTTTCAGCAGACCATAGAACCTTATGTCTCCTTCCTCTGCATAGTGCCTGAAATATATTAGCTTCTTCGGGTACAATTATTTAAATAAAGTCTAGTGCTTGGAGAGAGGTCATCCCAATGTACCAGTTTCTTTTTGGAGGTTATCCTGAATATGCCATGGCAACCTGAGGAATAATCCATTCTAGGTGATGAAAAGCCTCCAATCTTCTTTCATCCGACTTTTCTTTCTGTGAATTGTGACAACCTTTACTAAAAGTGGCAAAAGTGATGGATCTCAATTTTATTATACTGGAGATGATGTAAGAATATTTATTTTCTCAATTTGGACTTCCACAGAGCTAGAGTTCCATAGTGGGAAACTGGTACAAAGCACATGTTTACCAAATGGTTTGTAAGATTTTAAAGATTGCTGGTCTTGTGTTATAGAGAACTGTGTGTTTGTATGCCATTTAAAAAGATCAGTTCATAGCAAGGAGGTTTTTAGCTTCTAGGGAAGTGTGCTGTGATCGTTTTTTAATACAAACAAAACTAAATGTGCTGTATCTTCCTCATTTTTTCTTTAGGATAAAGGTGTAGAGCAAGTGTTTTCCGTGCTAATCAGAAAGTTTTAAAGGAAGAACAGAAATTGCAGTTTCTGCAGGAACTGTCATAGTGCTTTTGCCAGAAACTGAACATTAAAATGTTTCAGTGGGGTTTTTTATGAAGAATTTATAAAGAAGATAGTTCTGTGCATAGGGGAGTTCCTTTCTTTGAAAGTTACTGTTGCACAAATGTGTTCTTATTAATTCTGACTGGATGAAGCATTAATAACAAATAGGATAAGAAGTGTCCCCCAAATCGTATTTATTTCTGTATCTGAGCAGATGCTCTGGCTTAAAGGCTTGGCTTGCTAATACCATCTTTGTCTTTATAAATTACAGAGAATTAAAGATGGAGTCCATGCTGCTACCTGCATTTGTTTTCTTGATCCAGTGACTGTAATGTTAAATACTCTGGAAAGACCCAAACTAACCAGACAGGTGCTGTAACACAATTTAGATGTGTGGGGTGCACTTCCACTGGCTGTGGAAACCAATACAAAGCAAGGAAGAAAGCATTTAATTAAAAAATAAATTTTTGTCCTGATGACTGTGAAATGAGCTGTCTTCTTTTTGTATGATATCTATATTGATTGAGACTCTGAATACCTATGCAGGATGGAAATGAATGATCCAATGCTTAGTAATTCCTGGTGGCAGTCAAGACAATGACTGTTCCATGTGAAACACATGCTCAGACTCCACTAATGCCACAAGTGATCATGTTGGTGATTACGCCGCTGCTGCAGTTCTTGGCAGGTGGCTGAGAGACAAAGGTTAACATGCCAAATATTAACTAGTTCTTAGTGGAAAAATGTGTTCTTTTTATATGAAAGTAAATTATCTGTGTTGGTGCAAAGGAAGATGCATAACCAGACAGTTATACCTCTGCTCTTTATGATAATATGTGAAAGCAACCACTGCATGGAATTTGTGTCTTACAGAGATAACTCGGGCTGGATGAACGTTATAGGTCACTCTTGCTTTTAAATCTGTTTTCCAGAGGAGAATCTTGACAAATCCATCGTACAAGGACCTCGAATAGAAAGTTATGAGAAGAGTAAGCTCACAGCTCTTAAAATTCAGCAAGCTAAATAAATGGCCTAGGGATTATTTTAAAGTGGTGCAAGATGTAAGGTTTCATCCACTTTCTACAGTTAAATGTGTTTTGCTGTTAGGAAATGGCTCCTAAAATAGAGAGCAAGGTTTCCTGTTTAAAAAAAAAAAAAGCTCTTATTGTTTTATAGCCATTTTAATCAAGATGAACCATTTCTCATGGTCTTTTTTATTTTTAAAGCTTTTTTTAAGATTTGCATGTTCTTACTTAATCCTCATTATTTTTTCCTAATGAAACAAATCTGCTATAGAAATAATTTATACTTTTGTCTTATGTAATTACTGATTGTCTTACACCTTTTGGCTATTGAGCAATCTAAAACTGTTTTTCCAAATGTAGATGGACAAAAATGGGTTAAGGAGGTGATTGCTGGTGACTGACAGGTGGCACTTTGTGTGCTAATCTGAAAAAAAAATTTCTGCATTTTTAAAAAGTCATACCCTGTCGCAAAGTCTGATCAATTTACAGTAGATCACTGCCTCCTTGATCTCTCAAGATACTGCAACTTTCTGGGGTTTGGTTTGGTTTGGTTTTTTCTTCTGGTATGTATCAGCTAATTTTAGTGCTGCTGGCAAGGCTCAGGACACTGTGCTCAGTGTTCTGCACCACCACCACAACAGACTGATGCAGAAATAAATAATAATTTTGGCTCTCAGAATGGTTGAAGGAATTATGCACCAATTAAATTTAATTCCACATTGGACAAAGTGATTGAAATGAAGAAAAGAAGACAACACAGAGGTAAATGCAGTGCAAGGAGTAGATTTAACATAGTTTTTCCACAGGGAAGTCTCATCTCTACAGGAGTCTGATTCTTTGAAACAGGCAGTGAATGTGATGAGGATGTTGAACCAGTCACTATAATGTAGATTTCAAACAACTTCAAATGGTGTCCTCTAACTCATAGAATTAGAAGAAGATGTCATGATATAAAAAGGAAGATCCAGGTCAGCAATGAAGTAAAAGAATAAATGAGGTATTTTCACAATGGAAGAAGCTCAACAACTGGGATCCACAGAAATCTGCACCTTTTTTTCAGCATTTTCAGAAGCGATCTGAAAAAGGGAATTACAAAGTGGCAAATTCTGCCAATGCTACAAGCATACTCAGTAAAAAAAAAAAAAAAGCCTATTTAAAATGTTTTCAGGAGTCTGTTATGAAACTTAGTGGCTGGATAGTAACAGAAGATTCAGTTTTGGTAAATGTGAATTAATTAGCTCTGTAAAAAGCAAACATCTTTAAAATATGGCTTTATATTAACATAAAATATTTTCTTAGTATTTTTATGAATAGTTCTGTGAAAATGTTACCTCAATGCTCAGAAACAGGCAAATGGGCAAGCAGTGATACGCATTCTTAGGAGAAGACGACCTATTTAGTTCATGATGTCTTCAGCTCTACATGGTGGTGTTCACTTAAAAAGAATAAATGGAGAAGAGTGATGGAACTTATCAAAGGTGTGAAACAACTTCCACGGAAGAAAAGGTAAAATAGCAACTTCTTCAACTTGGAGAAGTAGGACCAACAGAGATGGTATAGAGGATTGTAAAACTGGTAATGATGTGGAGGGAATAAATAAGGAATGACAATCAACTACATCTTGCAGCAAGAATTTGGGGTTACCCAATGAAGTTGTCAGGGAATCAACAAGCAAAGAGAAGTAGTTTTTCAAACAATTCAGAACTGAATTGTGAGACATTAAAATCTGAAGCTTATTGTCATGTTTTGGATTTCTAAAATATCCAAAATATGAATGGGTTTTAAAAATACTATGCAAATTCATATTAAAAATGTCCACTGAAATTTATTAAAACACAGTGATACAAATACCCTCTTCGTCATACCAAGTCCCAAACTGCTGTTGCTTTGATGTTAGGAGGCTTTGTGTAAGGAAAATAGCTGTTTCCTAGTGCTCTTGCGTCTTACTTGCCTTTTGCAGAACAACTGCTACAGGCTACTATTGCAGACAGACCCCATCCATCTAACAGACATATATAGGCCTAAAATTTTAAGCAGTGTAGCAATTGCATTGGAAAATAGGATCATGCATTTAGCCTGCTTGAATTACTGTACAGAGTTTTATATCATACACTTAATTTACAATATATTCTTACAGTATAATTCTTGTTTATTCTAGTGTCATAGAAAACAACATTGTTTAGACAGGTAAAGGAATTTTTACAATTACTTTCCCACAGTTTCAAAAGCAGGAATAGTTCTGCTTTGAATATCCCAGAGATGCAACTTCTTTTACTTGATCATACACCGAGAGTGCACAAGCTGTCCAAAGTTACATTCAAGCAATGTATTATTTACAAGACTAACATATTTTATTTAGTCCTTTATCCTCTAATCTTTATCAGTATGTTTTTTCTACTTCCTATTAATGATGAATTACAGTCATGGGGCATCCTGTAATTACAAGTGTCCTGGGTATAGGTGGCTTTTGCTCCCTGCCTTGACAAAGCCCCTGAACGCTGTACTAGGAACATGATGCGAGATCTGTCAGTCTATCTTTGCATTCAGAGGTTCCAAATTGATCCCTTATCTTCCAGCTGCTGCATCTACCTAAGTACTTCTGAAATTAGGAGTTTTAAAACACCAAGGATGATCAGTATTTGTTTTATGGGGAGTATTTCTTTGTTTTCAAACTTGTACCATCAAGTGCTACTTGGAGTTTTAAATTTCCCAGCATGAGCTGGCAATTATTTTTTTTGAGCAGAGAAATTCTTTTTCTTTCAGCAATACCTGTTGGCTCTCAGGGAGGTATGGCAGCTGGCTTCCTCTAAACTACAGAGAAGGGAAAATGAAGAGATATTTCAGACTATTCTGGAAAAAAACCAACCAACCAAACCTGAGGTACATGATGCTAACTTTCATTGTCTTCAATTCCATGTCACCCAGCTAGTAGGTCCTTTCAGGAGGGCTGCAATATATGGAAAATTGGCCTAAAATTTCCCCTATCCTAACTTGGACTAACAGAGTTTTCATTCCACAGTTTTTTGTGCTTTTTTTTTTTTTTTTAAAGAATCTTTTTATCTGATGTAATAATTTCTTTTGGGATTTCCCTGATGTTGGGCTTTCTACAGATGTCACGGCAGTAATGACAGACTTTGCTGGGACATCACAGCCCAACATGTATGTTAGTACATGCAGACCCAGCCCATCTGGAACATGTGCTCATGCACAGTGATTGTTCTGCTGTATTCAGACACCATAGAAGTGTGAAAGCAGGGGAGAGAAAATGGGGAAAATTGCAAAAGCTTTGTGCAATGTTGCAAATCAGGGGTTTTACAAGAATGAGGAAAAGTACATTCAGCCAAAGAAGTATCAGCATTTTTTAAGCTGCCATCACTCCACTGGTTTCTTCAGTTGTCTTGTTAGTTTTTCTATCCTTTTTTTTTCCCCATCAGTGAAAAATCTGGTAACTGTAAGACTGAAATCTGTCAAAGCTACACTTTTGATGTCATTTCTTTGAAGACTTGCCTAGCTAGATACTGGGATAGATTTTGTTGTATCATTAGTTTTGCCACAGTTTGTGTTTTGAACATCAATGTTGGGGTCGTTCATGCCTGAGACAGTGGAGATCTGATTGGCTTTTCCAAGGTTCTTAATAATATTAATGTTGTATTTGGCAGTTTCCACAAAGCTGTTTTCTAGTAACCAACCATCTGATTCACCCTCCAGATCTCCTAGCAGAAGGACATTCTTCATTGCTGTTTGTAGGTACCGGACGCCAATAAGTACAGAGAGCTGTAAGAAACAGTTCATGGTTAAACTGAGAGCTTTCTGACTTGTGTATTTACAAGTCTAATAACTAACAGTAAAGCAGGCAAATTCTTTATCCCAGCAATCTAACCGCTTCCCCAATTAATTACGTTTTTCAGAAAGAAAAACACCAGGAAGTGATTGATTTATTCTCTCTCCATCCTTCAGCCAGCATTGCCACTTGCATGTTAATAGTACATAAATACCTAGAATGACTTGGGAGCGCTGAAGCCTAAGAGACTACAACTAATTGATACAGAATGGATGATCAGTTAATGGAACCACCAGTCACTTGGAAAAAAAAAATAGATTGTAGTCTGTTAAGTTCTATGGATTTTTTCCCCAATTTTGATTAAATTTTTGTTTCCTCTGAGGAGTTTAATCATCTGTATGCAAGCCACGTGGAGTTTCCTTCTCTGGACACTTTCAAGACCCATCTGGACAGGTTCCTGTGTGATCTGTCTTAGGTGTTCCTGCTGCAGCAGGGGGGTTGGACTTGATCATCTTCAGAGGTCCCTTCCAACCCCTATGATTCTATGATTGATAGTACAGGCTCAAGTAAAAGTTTAGGAAAAAGCTCCAGTTTTGTAATTCTGTTGGAATTGAGATCAGCATGCCTAGATTGTTGACATCTAAAGGAGCACAGAGATCCAGCTCACAGCTTCTTCATGTGCTGCCAAAGGTCTGTTTTCTGGCACCACCACCCCACCTAACACTGCTTGAGAACTGTTATGAACTATTTTAATTATAGTGCTAATACCTATGCAGTAGAACAATAATCAGAAAACAAAAAACTTTTTTAAAAGAGGAGGAGAACATTTTAACCTGTGCCACTGGGGATGGGATGGTTCTTTCACCTGCAGATGACATCCAGACAACTTTCTTTAAAGATGCCAGAAGAAAGACTGCATCTTTGCACGTGTATGTGTTTACCTGTGATATGCTTGTTTCGATTGTATAATAAGCAGTATAATCTCCATCTAAAAAGATATGCCATGTTTGCGAGCGTTGTCTATGTGGTGAAGCTATGTAATGGAAAAATGAGGCTTTGAGATATCATGTTCCATTTTTACTACAAAAAAAATATATGCAGTCAAAGGTCTGCTCACGTTTTGTGTATTCTTTGTTAAAACTGACTTAAAACAATCCTTAAATCTTCTCACCTAATTTCCTTGCAGATTGCATATATCATCCTGTATCTGATCCCATAAATGCTTCAGAGAAGGGAATATGCCAACATCTATTGAAGAAGTTTGGTAAAAATACAGAATTATATCTTTTCTAAAAGTTCTTCACTTCAGTGAAATTTGCTTCTGCTCTGGGGACCTTGAGAAAGTTGTCTGTACTAAAGGAACTCCTGCAACATTTTTTAAGTGCTGGTGGGCTTCATAATAGATGCTGAGGCACTTCTATGTTACACCTCCTCTAGAGAGGAGGAAGACTGATGACTCTGACACAGACCAGTTTTTACTGAGACTTACCTCAAACAACCAAATGAGCAATGCTGCGATGCCAATGGACCTCATGATACCTGTGTAGTAATCTAGCAGAGCCTCCCTGCACCCCCTCACCCAGATATTGAGCTCCTCTGTCAGAAAATCATAGTTGTAGTGGGCACTGTTGTTTGTCAGCTGGTACTGGATACAGGGCCGTGGGGAGCTTGGATTGCAGCAGCTGAAGGGTACTCCATCCACCAAGAACTTTCCATCAACGTTGCTCAGGAGACGGCTGCAGCAAGACAGAAAGTTTGGGAGTTACAAACCCAGTATTTATAGGTGATATTTATTTGTGTGTGATTTCTATAAAAGGGCAAAATGCCAGTCAACTGTGATGTAGGCATCTCCAAGGTAATGAAAGGAAAATAGGAATATATTTCCAACTGGAGATGTTACTCACTGCAGGCAAACTAAAGTTTTCATCTGCTGTGTTTCTGAAGTGTGATATAAGCACAGTACCTCAGGTGGTTCTTGGTACTGTGCGTGCATTGTCTGACCACACCTGGAGTGTTGCGTTCAGTTTTGGTACCTGCTTTACAAAAAGGATGTGGACAGGCTGGAGACGGTCCAGAGAAGGGCCACAAAGATGATCAGAGGACTGGGGAATCTGGCATATGTGGAGAGACAACTGGATTTTGTTCAGCCTTCAGAAAAGAAGGCTTTGAGGAGACCTTATTACCATGTTCCAGTACTCAGAGGGCAGCTACCAAGAAGATGGAGACTCCCTGTTTACAAGGAGTCACATGGAAAAGACAAGGGGTAATGGGCACAAGTTGCTCCTGGGGAGATTCCAATTGGACACAAGAGGTAATTTTTTCCCCATGAGGACAGTCAAACATTGGAAGGGAAGTGGTAGATTCCCCCATTTTTGACAGTTTTAAGTCTCAGCTTGACAGGGTGCTGAGCCATCTCATAAAAACTGTAGTATCACCCAGAAAGATTGGACCAGATGATCCTTGAGGGGCCTTCCAACCTGGAATTCTATGATTCTATACTAAGATGGGCATTCAGTCTTCAAAGAGATGTTGTCTTTTTAGGTATCTTTGTACTGAAAATACTGAAGACAATTTCTGAACTGGTTTATCTTGGTGTGACTCTAATGCAAGTTATGGCCCTAGGAATCCTGTGTTTCGTGGCTCTTGGATTGATTTTCAATACAAGCATTCCTGACACAAGAACAGCTTTGCACGCCCCAGAACCACTGGAAATTGTCTCCTGGCATTTCATTGTTGCACTCACCTGCAATGGCTGGTTTGGTACATGTTTGGAGACCAATTCCTACTTCTTGTAGCTGTACTCTTGTAAATTTTGAAACTGTATTTACTGCTAAAAATTACTCCTTTTCCTCCTCTATAGGATCCAGAGAAAAGTGAGAAAAGAAGGAAAATAAATAAAAAGGACAGGGAAAAAAATAATAGGATGGAAAGAGGACACAGTCTCAGATAAATCAAGAGTTTCTGGAACAGTTAATTAATCCTTGATATCCATTCTCTTTGTATTACCTGCTCTTTAGCTAGTGTGTCCTTGTGAGGACTTCTCTTTCCAAGCACACTCTTCAGAGAAATAGATTTTCCAGAAACTGGAAAGTATATGAGATGTTGAGATGCTCTCACACTTTGGGGAAGTAGCTTCTAATCATGTGTCTGTTGTCCGGCTCATTGCAAAAGGCTTGTTTCCTGTGACAGCTCAGAACCATTACCTCTTTTAATGAAGCCAATGCCCTTGAGCCTTTCTGAGGGAGCCAGAATATATGGAAGACAACTTTCTCTTAGATATCCAGCCTTCCCACCTGCTAATAGTACAATTTTTAATATTTTCCAAAGTTTTTCTTCATTTATTGGCATTTACAAATCCTATTTTCCTGTTTCACGACAGATTATATAGATTACATGGAAGGAAGCCATCACAGGAAGCTCAACAGGTGAACAGAGGAAGCAGAAACTCTGCAGTTCTTTCAGCATTCTGGGACTAAATGTATCCTTCAAAACAAACATAAGCTGCTAGGAAGGTCAGTATTTGTGGCTGTGCTGGGATGGCAGAATAATTGATTGTATTTCTGCGGACCTGCTAAATACAACTCCTTACTCTTTTTTTTTTTGGGGGGGGGGGGGGGGGATATGTGTGTCAAAATAGCTGTTTGCTTTTAAAAGACCTGGTGCCAAAAAATTTCCTGATAAAGTAGGAGTTGGTTGTAAGGGATAAACTAAGAAATACTAGTCATATTGTGGAGAACATTTTTCTTTTACTTTGAGCTATTACTAGTCATTGTGTGTTGCAGAAAGAAAACACTACATAGGAAACTACACTGGGAACTTTCTTCTGTGGGATCTAAACACAGTACAGATGTGGTGGTGGTGGTAGTGTGTTTTGTTTATCATTCCATCAAAACTCTTCTTCATAGATCAAGAAAGTCAGGAAGCTGATCTGCCAGTTCCCACCTTGGAGTGGATTAGGCATGAATTCCTCTGTATTTCAGAGTCTAGCTCTTCCCTTTGTGACCACCATACTCGTGGTAATGGCAACAGAACAAAACCAATGCAAAAGAACTGGATAACCCACTAAAACCAGACTTAGGGTGCAAGTAGTGTAATGGGCATAGGCAAAACCACTCACTGGGAGGGAAGACCTTGGAAACAGCTGAGGGAGAGACATTTGCTGTTATTAGTTATTGCAATTCAAAGTTGTTACGCTATTGAGACTTGCTCAATACTTGCTTTTGAGACTATAAAAAGGTGATTTTGACTCAACCAGAGCCATGACAGGATTGTACTGTTGTAACCTGCCTCATCCTCCTAACTGTTCGCATTGGTTCTCTCATTTCTTGTCAAATCATGGTGTTGGCAATGGAGATTAGAAGAGAAGGGGAAGCAAGAAGGTTACGAAGGAAAGCAAAAAATTCAATTTTGCAAAGCTTACATGTGAGTTGACAGTATGTCAGTTCTCACCTGCTTTGCCTCTTTAATCTACCAAGTGCTAAGTGACATAGAGTACAAGATGAAGCCAAGAAAAATATTTTGTTTCTTTTCCATCCTTTCTGAAAGTTACCACCGGGACTTTGCTGCCAATGTTCTCATATCAAATATTTCACTACCAGATTTTTGGAAATCATGGTATAATTTGGTTATATAGCACCAACTTGGATTCTAGCAATCAAGATGGAATTACACAATTTATATACAGTAAAAGAAATTCTCCAGTGTAATTGCTTCCCTCACACACACTTGACTGGCATCTTCTGCCTACATGGGGCAAAAATTATCTGACAGTGTATTTTCAAATGGGAGAGCACAGGTGACCCTGTAGAAGAAAACAAAGTTCAGCTAAGACCCTGGGTAAAACATTACTGCTTCTGCATGTCTCACAAAAATAAAGGAGTATATTTTACTTTTTTCCTCACAATAAGACACTACTCTTAAGTTCCTGTGGACCGTCCCGTCTTCCTTGTCATGTCACTTTTCAGTGTAGAACTGGGATTTAGAACAGCTCTTGGGTTAGTCTGCTTTCTGTCACTGTTGCTTTCCAACTCCTCCCTCAAGAACACTTACCCTAAAGCTTGCTTCATTTCTGTGGCCTTACGCATGTTGATGCCCTCTTGTCCATGTTCTCCTAGGTCCTGTCCTCTGGTATACTTGCAGCTCTCTATATATCTGCTGTGATGGCATTTTCAATTCTGAGAAAAGATGATCTTTGACCTCCCTTCCTCTGGCTTTATTGTCACTGATTATTGAGTTAAACAAAACAACACTTGACAAATGCCAGTCAAGTTTTTTGTGTTTGTTTTTCCCAGGAATATATAGCAACTCCACTCTTGTCAGTGAAGCCTTTTTTTCAGCTTTAGAAGAATTATTACATATTGGTTGTCTACTTAAACATTTTTTTTGTTGCCTTTTCTACTGTCTGTACAGATTACCAGACTCTTTATTTTTGAGCATATAATTTCATAATTACTACATCATGGGAAGCACCACCAAAAAAAACCAACCAAAAACACCTCAAATTTCAAGGGTTCTTTTTCTCCCATTTTATGCAGTCTACCATGATCTTGACTGTTTCTCACTTGTGAACATACAGATTTGAACCTGGGTTTGCAAAGTCTAATATCTTGAAGGAGAAAGATCTTGCAGTGTTTAGGATTGACTATGCAACGTATTGATAACCTTTCTTCTTTCCATTCACTCACTATAATTGAATTTTTGAGGTAGCTAACTCACCACAATCAGAAAAAGGAAAGGAAACATCTTTGCTTTGCTTAGCATCCCTAAAAAGTAAGCAAAAGGCAACTTAAGATGTGTAGTTAGCCTGTTATGTGAGTAGCCTGGTCATTCTACAGGTTTTTGATTAACAGACAACTGTCTAGAAAAAAATAGTATCTACTTTGCCTTATGGAATGAGGTTTTTTTCCTGTTTTTTTCTTACGACTAGTAAATACTTACTCCACAACCTCCTTGGAAGCCATATTCAGATAGCGAGGCGATACCCACTGAATTTCAAACCAGTCTCTGAAGCCGTTGTTTCCACAGCACTGGAACCCAATTTGTAACATATCCACTGTTTTCTTTAAGAAACATCGTCCAGGTATGTCCGTGTCCTTATAGTAATTAATAGCATCCTTCAGTCCCAGATAGAGAGACTCTTCCAGCTCGTTCCTCATGGTATAGCACATGAGAGCACCCAGCAGGATGCAGAAGGTAAAGCAGAAGGTACACACGATGTATGGGAGCATAACCAGTTTCCATCGAGAGAACTTGTTGGCATCTGAGCAGTCGTAGCAGATTTTGCCACCCAGAAAGTTGATGATACATGCTATGACTCCTACAGAGATCAGCATGTTGGGGACAGAGTTAATGTCCCCTTTTGCCATCACTTCATTGCGCTTCTTGATTTCTATTTTCAGAAAGAGTCCAAGACTGAAGAGAATGACCCCACTCACTACAGAAACCCAGTTGAGGATCCATAAGATTTGAGCCAATTTGTCCCTCTTAGTTTTGGTGAATTTTACTTTGAGGACAGCCATAGTCAGATCAGCATTAGGAAGAGAAGCGTAAGTCAAGAAAAGCTCGTAAGCTGATTAGGAGCATGTATCCAAGGCGTGCAGTAGACATCTGAAGAAGAGAGACAGATTACTGTCTGTTTGACTGGGTATTTATAGAGACCACAGAAAACTTCCTTTACAGCCTCACGCACTCGGAGACCCACCAAGGGAGTGCCCTGGGGAAGCTGATTGCTTGGATTTCATACAACACGAATCATGTGAGAAAATAACTCTAAGGACCAACTAGAGCAATTAAAAATAAGAGCTCACTAGAACCAATGAACTCTGGATTTCTATGGAGTTTTGGCCTGAGAGCAATTTTCCATGCAGATTTTCTGACATCTAGGAGTGAGCTGATCTGTCTTTCCCTCCATGAGACTCATGGTGCCCTTTCCTTGTACTCATTGCCTGTGTTTTCTTGATGATTCTAGGAATTTCTAATTCTTAGATTACTGTGTCAACATCAGATTTGTGTGCAAAAGTTGCTAAGTAGGACAAACAAGCACATACCTACAGCATAATCACATAAGCCTTTTTTCTACAAGGAATAAACATGAAAACAGCACCAGAAACACAGGATCCTGTAGGTGTTTTTAGGCATTTTGTGTGTGTGATTGTGTGTGGGAAAAGCTGATTTCACTAGCAAAACATGATCTTATTCATACACTTACACTACTAAGATGTCATCACTGGCAAAAACTGCAGGGTTAAACTATCAATGACTCCATTGGTTTTCTAGAAAATATGATTGAAATTTTATTAACTTTTAAGTGCTTTGACCTGAATACATTAGTGGTTAACAAACCATCCTCCAGGACATTTCCCCACTTCATCAGGCATAAAAGCACTACCGTTCTTGTGTGAAGTAACATATGACCCTACAAAAAAAAGAGCAGAGCCTCTTCACTCCTTAAGAAAAAAATCAACAGTTTAAGATTCTGTGTTTCTTTATCTTCCTGATTGCCCTTCACTCTCAAAGTTTGTATTAAAAACCAGTTTTTTTAATAGGGTGATCACTTTAAATGAGGTCTGTTGAATCATTAGGTAATCACCGTTACTGTCTTTACCTCTGCTCCTGCAGCTAAAGTTGCTTGTTCTCTCTTTGTCCTCAGAACTCTGACAATCATGCCTTATTCCAACTCTCGTAACACTTGTAGACTGGTTTTCTTTCCAAGCCCCTCATTTTCCAGTCAGAATCCTAAATTTGAATTCCTGATTGCACTTACTGCAATAATCTTGGCTTCTTCAGTGCTCATTGGAACTGCTTTCATTCTCTCACCTGTTGAAGACTCTGCAGCCCATGGGACACAATATTTTATTGAAGAGGAGCCATTTGAAAGGAAATTACTCCTGTTGAGTAATTTTTATATTGTGTGTTTTATTAGCTTGGTTTTGATGCAACTACTCTGAAGTTATTTGCAGTCCTTTCATAACTTTTCCATATGACGTAGAGACGTTTTTTCTCTCTGAACATCACAATGATGAGCATAAAATATCTTCAGAGGCACCTCCCCCCGCCCACCTCAAGTTTCAAATCTGGTATTTCAGAGTTCTGCAGCTGAAGGAGGACTTCTATGTTTCAAGTCTGTCATCTTTTCCCCAGCTATTAGGGGATCTAGGAAAATATACCATTTTTCCTAGCGTTTTTAACCTTGGCTCTCTGCAGCACTACTACTAACTTCACCTTTGCACCTCTCCAGTTATATCACAATCACAGGCAGAAAGCAGCTAATAACATCAGATAGATAATACCTGTTAGAGCTGGAGACAATGTGTTTTTGGTGTACGTGATCTGGATGTAGACCGATGCTGCAGTATCTCAGGATCAAAGCAAGAACTTTTACCCTTCCTCAGTGCTTCCAAAAGTTTGTAATTGCCTTTCCTCAAAATGTGCAAGGTATATGGAGTTCTTCTTTATTTCTTTTTTCTCCAAAAACCTGCTCTCAGCATAGTCTTGTACTAATTCAGTAATTTTCATTAGAGTGATTTTATACTGTGCAACTATGTATTCATATGATTAAATGGTCATCTAACTCCACTCATGCAATGACTTTTATGAATAGTAAAACATAGTCCTGTAAATTTGAGGAAACAAAAGTATAAGCAGCATTATTCTTGTATGATATTTTTTAAGCTAATGGACCCTACTACTTAACTTTATCTGAATAAAACTGGTATCCCTACTATGTCATCTGAACAAAACAGGTAACAGCTAAAAGAGCATGAAAACCACCTGCAGACAAGCTGTACAGAATCATAGCTGTACAGAATCATGGCTACACCAGCCCACTAGAGAAGCCTCAGCTGCAATTAACCATTAACACTGGGCAAGCAGATTGTTGTAAAGTACAGTTTAAAAAGGTAATGTTATCCCAGTGTCTCTGTGTCAGAAGGAATCAGTTCTGTTTGTACAGGCAAGGTATAGGTTATTCCACTTACATTAGGATATGGTTAGAGATCTTCCTGCATTTGAATACTAAAACATTTTAATACCTGTGAGATCTTCAAGCATAGGAACAGGCTGCCCAGGGAAGTGTGGACTTGTCACGATCCCAGGAAGTATTTAAAAGACATGCAGGTGAGGTGCTTAGGAACATGGTTTAGTGGTGAACTTGGCAGTGTGCTAGTTTTATGGTTGGACAAGTTTTATGGTAGAACAAGACATGGCCCAGCTATTTATTTATTTGTAACATTTACTTATTAAATGCAAACTGTCCAAAGAGATTTGGCTTGCAATTTTGTCATAAACAAATAACACCTTACCAGTTTCACTACAATCTACCATTTTAGCTAAACACGATGTCCTACCTACTTAGTGTAGAAGAAACCACTAACCTGCTTCAGAGGACTGAACATGAACTTGAAACTGGTAGCTTGCTGAGTAGAGGGAAGAAAATACCTGGATCAGGCATCCTAAGGAAGACTGCAGTACTGATTTCCTGATGTCTGTGTAGTTCTTCTGTCTTTACACTGACTTACCAGTGGAGATGGATAGAAAGACTTCTACTCTTCTGCCAGTGCTAATCTCTTTCTCATCTCTAATCGTAGTTAAGAGATTTATTTCAAGGTTCTTATACCACCAGGTTAAATCCTACAAAACAGGCCAATTAACTGAGCGTGAACTGAGATCTCACCAACAAAATGTTTTGGTGTACGTGATCTGGATGTAGACCGATGCTGCAGTATCTCAGGATCAAAGCAAGAACTTTTACCCTTCCTCAGTGCTTCCAAAAGTTTGTAATTGCCTTTCCTCAAAATGTGCAAGGTATATGGAGTTCTTCTTTATTTCTTTTTTCTCCAAAAACCTGCTCTCAGCATAGTCTTGTACTAATTCAGTAATTTTCATTAGAGTGATTTTATACTGTGCAACTATGTATTCATATGATTAAATGGTCATCTAACTCCACTCATGCAATGACTTTTATGAATAGTAAAACATAGTCCTGTAAATTTGAGGAAACAAAAGTATAAGCAGCATTATTCTTGTATGATATTTTTTAAGCTAATGGACCCTACTACTTAACTTTATCTGAATAAAACTGGTATCCCTACTATGTCATCTGAACAAAACAGGTAACAGCTAAAAGAGCATGAAAACCACCTGCAGACAAGCTGTACAGAATCATAGCTGTACAGAATCATGGCTACACCAGCCCACTAGAGAAGCCTCAGCTGCAATTAACCATTAACACTGGGCAAGCAGATTGTTGTAAAGTACAGTTTAAAAAGGTAATGTTATCCCAGTGTCTCTGTGTCAGAAGGAATCAGTTCTGTTTGTACAGGCAAGGTATAGGTTATTCCACTTACATTAGGATATGGTTAGAGATCTTCCTGCATTTGAATACTAAAACATTTTAATACCTGTGAGATCTTCAAGCATAGGAACAGGCTGCCCAGGGAAGTGTGGACTTGTCACGATCCCAGGAAGTATTTAAAAGACATGCAGGTGAGGTGCTTAGGAACATGGTTTAGTGGTGAACTTGGCAGTGTGCTAGTTTTATGGTTGGACAAGTTTTATGGTAGAACAAGACATGGCCCAGCTATTTATTTATTTGTAACATTTACTTATTAAATGCAAACTGTCCAAAGAGATTTGGCTTGCAATTTTGTCATAAACAAATAACACCTTACCAGTTTCACTACAATCTACCATTTTAGCTAAACACGATGTCCTACCTACTTAGTGTAGAAGAAACCACTAACCTGCTTCAGAGGACTGAACATGAACTTGAAACTGGTAACTTGCTGAGTAGAGGGAAGAAAATACCTGGATCAGGCATCCTAAGGAAGACTGCAGTACTGATTTCCTGATGTCTGTGTAGTTCTTCTGTCTTTACACTGACTTACCAGTGGAGATGGATAGAAAGACTTCTACTCTTCTGCCAGTGCTAATCTCTTTCTCATCTCTAATCGTAGTTAAGAGATTTATTTCAAGGTTCTTATACCACCAGGTTAAATCCTACAAAACAGGCCAATTAACTGAGCGTGAACTGAGATCTCACCAACAAAATGATTTTATAGTAACAACTTTTATCTTTTTGCCGCCCCAGGGTTTGGGCTAGTAAGCAACAGGGACTGTTCTTCAATACCTGCTGATGTCTTCGTTAGTTCTTAATTTGTTCTTGACAATAAACGTGTCCAAGAGAGACAAGACTGAGAATTATGAAACTTTGGGCTTATGTTGGAAGGGAAAATCTATTTTAGACAATCATCATTTACATTCAGTCTTGTCCTACCCATCACTCCATGTTTTGTTGCTTTGGATGAATTATCTGTCCTCTGTGTATTGACTGTGTTCAAGAAAGGAATTAAAGTAACCAAGAGCAACTGGATCATCATTTATTACTGTCCTGGTTTCAGTGGTACAGGATCCCAGGCAAGCCAGAGAGAGGAGACCATTAGTAACCCCGAGTCAGCTGGCAGCTTAAGACTGGGCAGCTGACCCAAGCTGACTAACAGGGGGGTCCAACCGCTTAGGAAGGGGGAGATGTGCTGAGGGGGGGAAGCTCCCTCTTCCAGGACTCCTCCCTCTTGGCTTCCTGCTCCCTCTGTTACTCCGGAGGTCTAGGCTGAGTATAAACTTGTGCAACCCATGGAACTTTTCCCCTCTTCCTGATTCCCTTCCTCAGCTGGGAAGGGGTCACTGTGCAAGAGACCAAACTGCTTCAGTTTAGTCCTGAATATGAGATAAACAGAGTGACAATAGATTCTGGTTTGGGAAGTGTCTAGTGGTCAGGGCAAACCAAACCCAGGGAACAGATCTGCTCTCTGTTACTCCCTTATACTCTCGCAGAGGAAGATAAAAGGAGAATAAGGGACAGAGTCTTTAAGGGTTGGAAGTTAAAACTACAACAGGCTTACTGGAACAGGGAAGGGATTGTAACACATGGGATGAGGAACAATTACACACCTATATACAAAAACTGACAAAGGTTTTAACCGTCTGGCTTGTTTTGTCACAATCATGGATAACCTGGGCAATAACTTCTAGAGTCAAATCCACCCCTGGTCACGGGCCCCTCAGTGTGTTGCATCTCATCCTTGACAACCAGAAGTGTCATGGGCCCATTGAGCTAAAAACAGTTCACCTCTGTGTTCCCAGTCCAAATCTGTTTGGAACACTTGAGCTGCCCAGTCTACTTGATGGTTGTGTTGGTGTTCTTCAGTGGCCTGGCTCTTAGGTATGTGGTCATCTACATGCCTTACATTAACTGTTAGTGTCTCTAGCCAGGCCACAATGTCTTGCCACAGGGTGGCAGCCCAAATAGTCTTCCTCCTGTGCTGACAGTTGTCCCTTTTCCATCCTTTTAGCCACCCCTGCAAGGCATTTGCTGCCACCCATGAATCAGTTGAAGTCCTGTCACTCTTTCTGTTCAGCAGTGTCTAGAGCCAGCTGGATGGCTTTGATCTCATCATGCCTCACAGGGTTCTTTTACTTCTTGAAACGCTTTCTGAGGGATGTTACCAGAGGGACAAGGGCTGGTTGGGACCTAATAATCGAGATTCATAAAGTAGCCCCTAAACTGCCCAAGCAAACCCCCAGCCACGCTCATCCCAGCAGAAATCGGTGCCTGAAAGAAACAGTTAAATAACATAGATGGGAGATAGGGCAGCATCCCAACAATTAACTTAAAGATACAGCCCAAAACGGCATGATAAATCAGGTGTTGCAGAAATGACATGACAAAAATGATTTGTTAAAATTTCCAACCTTCAGATATTTCAATAAAAAGGAAAACTTCAATTCGAGCCCCATGTTGGATGCCAAATGTTCTGTGGCAGTTTAATGGTCAGGGTAAGCCAAACCCAGGGAACAGATCTGTTCTCTCTTACTCCCTTCCACCCTCCCAGGGGAAAATAAAAGCGGAATAACGAAGAGAGACTTTAAGGTTGGCAGTTGAAACTACCACAGGCTTACTGGAACAGGAAAGGGATTGTAACATGGGATGAACAAATATACACCTATATACAAAATCCTACCTCAATGATGGCTGATATAAAGTGTCCAAGGGCCCCTTGAAGCAGGCCCGACTCAGGAAGAGGGTCCAGGGCTCTTCCCAGCACCTGATGGACTCAAGTCCTGCCGAGCACATGGCGAGCTGATCACAGAAGCCTCTCTCCAAGACCTCTGAGCCCAGAAAGCAGCAAGGAAAGAGGGAGCCGGAAGAGGGGAAAATTTCTGCCCTCCTGGCTTTAATGGATTATGGCAGAAAATGAGCAGGAATACTGGCATCTCTCTGTTCTGCCCCTTGGATCCCTCAGAGTCCTAAACATTGTGGCTCTAGACCCTTGTATTGACACCGGAAAACTAGTCTGTGCCCCCTCAAACCATACCCTCTGTCCTAGACTCTGCAAAGATTTATTCCAAGCCAGAAGCAAAAGCACCTTGTCCTCTGGCATTTCAGAGCCCAGCATGCAGCCATTTATGGGACAGACATAGCTGGGTTGAACTGCAATCAGTAGTGGCAACAAGCTGAGCCTGCAGCAATGCTTGAGCAAGTTGGTGGTGGTGTTAGTACCAGGTCTGCATCCCCAAGCAGGACCAAGTTTGTCTATAGGGTTCATAATGGATCAGCACAGCAGAGAGAGCTGCGTGAGCACATGTGACTGGCTGCAGGGGACGCTGCCCCACGCACTGTAATGCATGTGAATATTCTCACATATTTGTCTGTGAGAATATATATATATACAGGTATATAATATACCTGTCCTTTCCCAGGTAATGATGAGCCGTAAACCGATACCATGGTGTTACTGTGACTCTGACTCTGTATTCTGGGAATATGTCTGCTTGCCTCATTTGTGGTCTCCCGCTTCCATAAGGATGGACACCCTTTTGCATGCATCACTATTATAATGCTTATTTTCAGGGAAAGGTGAAAGAATAGTTATCAGTGCAACTCAGTCTATCAACATCTTGAGTAAAGCAGAGACTGGAATATCTAACTACCATATTCTAAGATGAAAAAAAATACATTTATTCACATTAATTTCATACATTACTTCATGGAAGAGGGAGGTTTGTAATTGTCAGTATAAGTTGACCCTCCACAGGGTGAAAAACCCCAAGGACATGACCCAACAAGATAAAGCCATACGGTGAAATTCTCTCCCTTTTCAGTTTTTTCTGATACAAACTCATATCTAATGTTTATGGTGAAATCTCCATCCAACAATGCATCATCTAGTGCTATATGGCAAACTAAACAGAGCCATTTCCCTGATTGCTGGGGGTGTCCCTGGAGCAATTCAGGCTTCAGTTCAGAGAAATATAATTGACTGTACCTTCACACCTTTTAAAATAAAATATATGAAGTAGGGCTTCCAGCTTTCTATCTTGCTTGTGTGTTGATGTACAGCACATCTAGGAAAGTTCTGATCAAAAGCATATGTGATACATCTGGGACCTACTGCAGATGGACCACACATGCTTGCATATGATCACATATACCCCAGCTACATGGAAGAAGTCAGTCCTGCGCACATGGATTATTCATACTTTGGACTTGCTATACTCATGCAGACAACAAGGCATACGTTAAATCTGTTCAAATGTGAACAAATGTGTACAAACCAACTCTACTGAGCACATTCAATGGCTTTAATGTATTCCTTGTGGGCAGCAAAAGTACACAAATGTACACATTTGCCTGGGATTTTTGAGCTGTTGCTCTGGCTGGGATGTGATAAATTAGAAATCCTGGACAAATGTCTGAAGTCCTTTTCTATGCCCAGAAAAAGTTCACGTGTGAAAACCTCCATATCTGTGGAACTCCAGACATATATTATCCCCGAGTATGAGAAAATGTTACTGTCCTAGATACTAGTAGAAAAGGCACCTTCCCTATTGCTGCTTTGCGATATAAACCTAGTATTTGCATGCGGGAAAGCAAGCAAGCAGAAGAGGGCAGTGCTGCTGTATTTAGTTTTTTCTACAAAGCAAAGTAAGAAGCTTTATTTTATTTGTCTTAGAGATATTAGAGTTCTCTGACACAATGAGCAGAAGCTCAGGAATGCATTATTGTAAGAAATAACTTAAAACCAATCTTAATACAATTAGAAATCGATGCTACCTGTATTTCTTGTTCCATCTCATATTAGGAAATTGTTTCAGCTGCAAAGTTTAATATTAAAGTTCAATTATTTCGAAATTAGTTTTGTTTTATGGCAGTCTATAACTAACTATGATGCGTTTTCTTACAGACCTGCTGAGAAGGGTGGACACCAAGAGCAGCACTTTGTAACTCAGCAGGACTGGATGTACGAGTGATTAAGTTACCTGTCACCCAGTAGTACAGAAAGAAGACACACACTCTCCTGCTAACAGTGGAGACTGCTGTGCTGTGGCTTTGGATATGCAAGAGGTAAATTTAACAAATGTTTGGCCAATTACTTATCTATTTCCTACCATTCATATTTAAGTCCACAAGGACAGATGTGTTCTGAATTAGCCTAACTAGATCGCTAGTTGGGATGACACATGCTGCAAAATGTAATTTTACATCTAGTTTCCAAAAAACAATGTTTTATTTTTATATTTGGATGGCTTTCCATTTCATCTTGTATTTAATGCTAATGATAACTAATTATAATAGATTTTGGACTAAAACTGGAAGCACTTGGTAGGTCTGACATAAACAGGTACTACACAACATTTCTATGTCAGTGCTTCAGAGGGAGAGTCCGTATTCAGGAAGAGATTCTCACTGATATGTGTTAATCAGGTGAGGGCATGAAAAAGGGGATTCAGGCCATCTGCTTCTTTTAGCTTTTGTAAAGTTGTGAACCACATGATAGATACTGAGAAGCATTAAGTTATTAGGTAAATAGAAGAAATTTGGTCTTTGCAGAATATTAATCTCTCGGTTACATTTTTGAACTTTTAGGAAGGAAGTACAGTGGTATATAGATT